CGGGTAGGATATCGGTGTGTCTTGGAGCTTGCACACTCGTGCATCGTCGGGGCCCATCTCGACAATCGCTAGAGACCAGCGCCGAACAAGCCCCACGATTTTGAGGAGGAGATATCTCAACCACTTTCGATACCAACTCCTCTTTCAGTCAACAAGTAGCCGCCCTCGTCTAGTCCAGCTTACCCAAGTATGGCCGACATGCCTCACTAATGTCGCAAGCTCCGAACAAAGTACACGCTCTTGACGCTGTATACGCCACATACGCGAACACTCTGCCTAGCATGTCACCCTTCCTTGAAGGAATGGCAAAAGTTACTGGAATTTCGCATGCAGACTCTTCAATTGGAAGCTCCTTGATACACAGCTCATTATTCTTACGTTGTCATTGAGCACTGCGGAGCTGCCTCCGTGCTGTTCGCATCCATCCCACCAGAACAAGCCGAACCCCGCAGTTTGGCCATAGCTCTGCCCAACGTCATAGGCTCCCAAAGCTCCGCCAGACCTATCTGAATATTAGTCTACGAGAGATTGACGTCTTCGGGTGGGCTTAGCTATCTTTATTCCCACGCGTGCCGCCTTTAGAGTGGCCGAGTTCGCGGTAGTTTATAATCGATCTTCACACCCACTTCCAGACGCCATGCGCTCTATTGTGACAGCAACTCGATCTCTCGGACGTCAACAAGCTTACAGAAGTCACTTTCAGAAGAGATCCTTACCATCAATTGTCTCTCGAGGATACGCAAATATGGGCCATTCAGTACCACCAGTATGTTCCTACTTCGTTTGCGCGATCATCCGCAACGACCAGCTACTGACCGCATACAGCTCAACGACAAGTCTCTCTTGAAGAATCAGACATATGTCAACGGAGAATGGATAGATGCAAAGTCAGGCAAGACCTTCGAGGTCAATGGTATTCCAACCCCACCAATCCTCTAGAAACCCTTTAACACGCAGCAGACCCAGCAACAGGCAAGCTCATAGGCACCATGCCTGAGATGGACCGCGCAGACACCGAAGCCGCCATCGCAGCAGCAGCCGCCGCACTCCCTTCCTTCCGCAAACTCACCGGTCGCGAGCGCTCACGGCTCCTACGGAAATGGTACCAATTGATGATGGATAATGCGGATGATCTGGCCAAGCTCATAACCTGGGAGAACGGAAAGCCCATGGCAGACGCTAAGGGAGAGGTCAACTACGCCGCGAGTTTCTACGAATGGTTCGCAGAGGAGGCACCGCGCATGTACGGAGCCACCATCCCGGCGACGGTTGCTGGTAACCGAGTGTTCACAATCAAGGAGCCTGTTGGTGTTGTTGGATTGATCACACCGTATGTCTTGCGATTCATCTGAGAGAATCATGACTAACGTTTTCAGATGGAACTTCCCCGCAGCTATGATCACGAGAAAGATTGGACCAGCTCTGGCAGCTGGTTGCACCGTCGTCGCAAAGTCTCCCGGCGAGACGCCATTTACAGCGGCTGCTCTCGCCGAGCTTGCGCACCGTGCTGGAATTCCCAAGGGTGTCGTCAACTTCGTTACCGCACTCAAAAACACACCTGAAGTCGGCGAGACAATCACATCGAGCAAGACTGTCAAGAAAGTGTCGTTCACAGGATCGACCGGTGTCGGCAAGCTTCTAATGAAGCAGTCGTCGGATACACTCAAGAAGCTCTCGTTCGAGCTCGGTGGAAACGCACCCTTCATCGTCTTCGACGACGCCGACCTGGAGACAGCCGTGACCGGAGCTATCACATCCAAGTTCCGATCTTCAGGCCAAACTTGCGTATGCGCCAACAGAATTTATGTTCAGTCCGGTATTTATGATGAGTTCTGCACAAAGTTCACCGAAAAGGTTAAGAGCTTCAAGGTTGGTGGCGGCTACGAAGAGGGCACTACACACGGGCCTCTCATCCATGACCGTGCCGTCGACAAGGTGGACGCCCACGTCCAGGATGCCGTCAAGAACGGCGCCAAGGTCCTGTTCGGTGGACAAAAGCTACCTGATCTTGGTGAGAACTTTTACCAACCCACAGTCCTCCGCGACATGACCAAGGACATGCAGCTTGCCAAAGACGAGACCTTCGGCCCTGTTGCCGGACTCTTCCCCTTCGATACCGAAGCCGACGTTGTCAAGCTAGCCAACGCGGCCGACGTAGGGCTCGCGGGTTACTTCTTCAGCAAAGATATCCAGCGAGTTTACAGGGTAGCTGAAGCTCTGGAGGTTGGTATGGTTGGCGTTAACACCGGTCTCATCTCCGATGCTGCCGCACCTTTCGGAGGCGTGAAAGAGTCTGGCTTCGGACGAGAGGGAAGCCATCTTGGTATCGATGAATACATTGTCACAAAGACGATCACAATGGGCGGCAATGGCCAGCCGCTCCAAGGAGAGTAGAGAATCAATACAGACTGATTTGCGCCGAGGGGTCGAGAAGCCCCGCCACACGTAGCTTCATTTCCTTAGTGTGTGTGACAAAAAGTACAGATCACAAGGAGGTTTGTGCTCGAAGCTCGACAGATACCGCAGTGCAGAACCATTCGTCAGAATTCTTGGGAAGGAATGTGCCGTGCACGTTACGAAAAGAACTGTCGAAGGGAGCCGCTAGCGTGTCATGTTCGCGACTTTGGAGTTTAGCGTAACGCGTAGCCCAGCGCAACGCGTGCATGTGCCATCCTGTCCTTGCGGCCGTTTAGTAGGTACATATCGAGTATTTTGTTTGCTTCTCCATTCTCTATAAGATTAATAGCATCGAGTAACCTTGCAACGACGGCATTTTAAACAACTAATCGCATCGTCGATTTCACATTCCTTCCTTTGACGATCCTTACCTACCGGTGCCATTTCCGACACACATCCCTGATAGCATCACTTTCGGCCGTTTACCCCTCTCCGCCACATCCACGCCAAAGCACGTTAAGAACAGACCAAACACCCAGTTCAGACTTTGTCACTTTTAGCTCATTGACAGCTACGATGGCGCATGTTTCGTACGATCAAAGCCATGTCTACATCAAGTCGGAGGCAGGCCTCGACCAAAAGCAAACCTTAACCCCCGGGCCGAGTCCGACGATGTCAGCTGCACCGTTTCCGCCAGGTCCGAGCAATGTCAAGAGGGAGCAGACCCCGGAGCCGTATAACATCAAGCAAGAGGAATATCACCAGCAGGAACGAGAGAGCACCGTAGGTACTATGGATGCAACCACACGCACCACGGAATGGGTACTACAAGGGAACAACGGCACTGCCGGTCAGGCCGCACCAACCTCTCAGTCAGCCTTTTCGACACCTGCTCCAGCTAGCCAGGCGGCGACTGCCCCAGCTGCTCAAACGACGGCAGCTCAAATCACTCAGAACTCCATGGCGTCTAGCAGATACGCCCAACCTGGGATCCAGGCCGACCCGTCTCCAGCGGCATTGAACCGTCTGGCATCCAAGCGACTCCTTGAAGATGATTCTTTCTGTACAGGATCACCAACAAACAAGCGCATCAAAGCCGAGCCATCCTCCTCCGTCTCCGGCACCGGCGTCCCTCGCATCAAGTTGGAGCCCTCCAGCTCCCACACAGAAACCCCTCCTATGCACCGCGCACCCGAGAACGACATCATCGCACTCTGCAGAACCTCTACATCCGGCAAATTCACGGATTTCGAACTCGAATCCCTCACCGAGATCCAAACTAAAATCGACTGGGTCTTCAACCACGGCGCAAAGTCCTTTGATGTGCTCTCTGAGATCAAGAAAATCCCGCACCAACCACCTACATCTTATGGCATTAGTCTCAAGCCCGAACAGAATCGCCGCATCGGTGAATTGCAGAAGAGGATGAAGGATGCGCAGACGGGGTTTAATGCTCAGGGTGTGAAAGCTAATCCAACATCGACTCCTAAGGGCAGGAAGATCAAGAATTGTCGGGCGAGGACTGCGAAGTCGCCGTCGGTATCTGCGGAGCAGGGATTTAAGGTTGAGAAGCTTTTGGGCATGCTGATGCTGAATGATGAGTCTGGAGCTACTGTCGCTCAAGCGGCGTCCAACTTGCTGGCTAGTAGGGGGCTGAAGTTTACTTTGTGTGGGAAGGAGCTGCGGTTGGTGGAATTGTAGATGCGATCGCGGTGCTGTTGGATGTTTGATACTATCTTTTAGGCAATCTGTAGCCGGAATGGCTTTCTTGTGTTACTAGCAGTAGGAGCGGGTTCTCTGGGCTTTGTGCAGGTAGACTTGTGGTCTCTGTCAAGCACTCTTTATAATTTCATTTGTTGCACCTATGTGGTCTCTGCTCAATGTAACATTAAATTTATTGAAACATCTCAATTGCTGTCTTGGCTGTGTCGCTACAGGTCTCGTGTGTCGCTGAGCGAGAAGCTCTTGATGAGCGTCTACATGGACTCTGACAACGGAGCACCACCTGGGCATCAGCACTTCAGCGACCCATCGACTTCATTCTCACATGGAGCCTCTGCGGATGGCCGATCTACGTAGATACTACAGCTTGTGTCAGAAAGACCGGACCATGTGTGGCGGCACAACGCGCATGCAGCATAAATACCCAACGTCATCGTCCCCGCACAATCCAGGGGAAAGCGATTTGTCGCTGTGACCATTTTGGGGCTATGGATACCATCCAAAAAGTATCAGACCTTGTAGTGAGCTCAAGGTCAACAAATATTATCAAAAGAATATCGATCCGAACACCATTCCCGCGAATTTCCTTGATAGTTGCAGGACATCCCATCACAGTCGGCTGCTAGCGCGTTGCACTAGCGACCGGGAAGTTTAACGGGGCACAACGCGCATCCGCAACCCACCGTTCGCAACTTATCGCACATGTCAAGCACTGTCATCCGCCCACTCTGAGTGACGCGCGCAAGATCGCAAGAGGTACTGCAACGGATAAATCAAAAAAGCAATTCCATCGACTTCCCGCTTCCGGTGCCCTTTCCGAACGTCCAGCGGTCGCACCTTCCACCTCGACTTACATTCGGCAATCGCCTACAACACACGTCATGATGCGCTGGCTCAGAGGCAGCACGGCGGCAGGAACACCGGGCGCAGAGGAAGGAATCGGCAAAGAAAATGTTATGCCAATGGTATCAGACAACCTCAATGCCGAGGGCGCGGAGCATGAGGTTGAGACCTCGAAGAAGCCGTTGCGCAACACCCCGCGCCGTGCTGCAGCAAAGTCCAAGAAGAGCGCTCCTGCCAAAGCTTCGCCCGCGAAGGCTGCGACTCCCCTGCGACGGTCCACGCGCGCGCAATCGAGAAAGAGCGGGGGCTTCTTCGACGCGGCACAGGAAGCCACGCCAGACCCGATGTCAATCGCCTCGATCATAGATGCACCTCCGACATCGACACCACCACATCCCGAATTCAGTGCTGCCGACGAAGCACAAATGTTACAAGATCTGGACAACACGGACGAAAGTCACGTCGAGTTGGGTGAGATGGGGATGCCGCAACACGTCGTCTCTCACACTCAGGAAGACGAGAGTCGCGTCTCGTTGGGTGAGATGGAAGTGCCACAGCAAGTCATCTCTTACACTCACCCAGACGGGACGGTGGCAGAAGTTGCAAGTGGAGAGCCAGCGGCTGAGATGTCTGCGTCTCTGCGAGATGCTGTCGCTTCAGAAGAGGCTGTCGCTGTACAGGAGACTGCTGCTGTACAGGAGACTGCCACTTCACGAGCGACGGAAGACACTCACGCGGTTTACTCAGCTACGCCGGCTTTCGATTATGCCAGCCAGAACTCGACGCTTCCTGTAGATAATCTAACAATCTCCGCGACCGGCACATGCTACGTTCCATCATCGTTCCGCCCCGATGGCTCCATCCGTAGAGAGATTCGGATTCGTCCTGGCCACGCCTCATCGGTGCCTACGAATACGGAACCTAACATCAAATTCATCCCAAACCTATCGGCATCTGAAGCACTCCCATCACAAACCGACATCGCTCAGTCGTCAATTCCAGCCCCGTCGACCTCTAACCAATCGAATGAGTCCTTTACAAGCCACAGAGCTATATGCCCAGGAGGATTCCTTACTAGCAGATACGCAGACGTCCCAGCTGCAACACTAACACAAGCGTCGGGTTTCACTACGCCGTTCTCCGCATATGCAGCAAACGTCAACTCAGGGAAACGTCGACATGTCGAGGAAGAGAACGAGGGACCATCGGGATTTCAGGATGAGCGCTCAGCGAAACGCATGCGTACCACGAACAGTCGCGAGTCCATAGGTGACCGCCGTACGGCAGTTCCTCAAATACTTCCCAGCCCTTATGACAGATACGAATGGGCGCTTATCAATGACAACATGAGGGATAGCCAGGATCAAAGCATGGTCTCTGAACCTGAAGAGACGCCAGAACGGTCAATTGTTGGTCAAGACATCGTCGATAGAGAGCCAGTAATCAAGACTGAGCCCGTTGACGATGCACCAAGCAACTCAGCTGTGATCCCACCAGCTCCCCCTCTGACGCCAGCTCAGTCCAATTCACCAAGTGTACGACAGCCACCGACCGCATCAATAGCAACACAAGGTCCGACCTCGCAAGCTCCGGTCTCAGCTCCCGAGTATATCGACCTTTTTGAACTCTGCATACCACGCTTTGGCAAGCGCCAACCGATACAGCTCGAGCTAAATAAAATCAGAGAAATAGAAACAAAGACAGCGCTGATATTGAGTGGTCATAAGGAGAAAGTCGACATTCTAGGCCAACTCCCTCCTTGGATGCGGGTCAATATTTCGAGGAAGCAAAGACAGTTGATTAACGATCTCGTGAGGCGTATCAAAGCAGCGAAAGCAGGCCAGCATAGCTATGCCGACGTGAGAAGTTTCAACGCCACCCCGAGTGGGTCTACGCCAGCACCCACAAGAGCCACAGCAGTACCAGTCACACAGACATACCAGCAGAAATCTGTCATGGCCGCGCCAACACCACCCCAAGCTCAATTGTTGGCACCTCAACAAGCCCGTCAACCCTACGGTCTCGACCCCCTCAAGTACGAGAACACATTCGGTCCAGCTCTGGTATACAGCGCACTGGAACAAGTCAACAATATGCTAGGAGCGTTTGGAGTCAACGCACGCTGTTACCCCAGTGGCATGGACTCGATAACTCTAAAGAACCAAAGTATAGTGCCGCCTCCTCCTCCGACTGGCTGCATGCTTCTTTCACTGGAGAACATGCCCTACGTCAAACTGGCTGGGCCGGCTCTGGTGAACCACGCGTTACACCAGGTCAACGACATGACCAGCTCATTGTGGCCTGGACAGTTTGTGTTGCATGGGAAGGACATGCTGCTGTTGCAGTCGTAGTTTGTTGCATCGTGGCGATAGCACTGTAGTTATCTTCGAGCTTTCAATGGCAACAAGATACTTGTGGTATAGATTCTCTTCTTGTATAATATTAGTACCGTTTCCGCGGGTCCAGACTTTCTCATGATAGTTCAGAGTACCTTGAACGTCTAATGAAATTGCTTATCAGAATCCTCTGGTGATTCGCAAAACTTCTGATCACATATACATGAACAATGCGGTAGCACGTTGACATACTGCCGTCACTTCAAAGTATACGCTTCCGCAAGACAAACCACACGGAGTGTCATGACTTCAAGGTCATCATTGAAAGTTGTTCATTTTCATGCCGGTGTACCCAGCACTATCGTTGGATACATACGTGAGGTCCTGAATGTAATACCCCGCGCCATAACCCTGAATGCTAAAAAGAACCCATGCAGAAACACCCTCTAGTACCTCTTACCCTCGCGGAGGATGTCGCTGTACTCCTCAAGCGGGGATGGTGTGAGCTTCTTCTCCGCCCACAGGTTGGGGGTGAGGAAACCGTAGGTGTGTGCGACGGCGACGAAGGTAGCCTTCAGGGTGTTCTCAAGGGTCTTGGTGGAACCGGAAGAGGCAGTGTAGATGTCGGCAACACCAGCCAATTGCAAGAGACGCTTGACGGCGGGCGATGCGACAAGGCCGGTACCACGGGGAGCGGGAATGAGACGGACAGTGACGGAACCGCACTTTCCGCTCTCCTTGGTGGGGAGCGAGTGAGGCTCACCAAGGTTGGTACCCCAGTAACCTCTTCGGATGGGGACGACGGAGAGCTTGGCGATGATGATGGCGGCGCGGATGGCGGTTGCGACTTCCTTGGAGGTCTTGATACCGAGACCAATGTGACCCTCGGAGTCACCGATGACGACGATGGCCTTGAAGCGGGTACGCTGACCGGCACGGGTCTGCTTCTGGACGGGCTTGATCTTCATGACCTCGTCCTTGAGCTTGGGAAGGAAGAAGTCGACGACCTGGTACTCCTTGATGGGGAGAGAGTGGAGGTAGCTGCCCACAGTCAGTAAATATTCCCACCCCATTGTCGCCTCAGAACGTACATCTCCTCCATGCTCTTGATCTTGCCGGCCTTTACGAGACGGCCAAGCTTGGTGACGGGCTGCCATTCCTTCTCCTATGCCAATTGTCAATTTCCCGCGCTTTATGCCTCCAAGATATTGTGTATGCGTACTTCGGTCTTTCCGCCACGGCGGCCACGGCCACGTCCGCGACCACGTCCACGGTCACCACCGCGGTCTCCACGAGAACCGAATCCGCCGCGAGCGGGGGCAGGAGCGTCAGCCATGATGTATGTTGGTGGGGTATACGGCTGCTGGAGTTGCGATTAGCGACGGCTGAGAGGGTGAGGAGAGGTGGGAGAGCGTACGATTTGAAGTTCCTGGGAGTTAGTGCGTGCTGTTGTCGCGGTCGCACTTGCAACTTTCGATATTGAAATGCTCGCTTAGGTCGTGGATGACGCTAGCCGCATGTGGCTTGGCGCAACCAGGCTGCATGCGGGATGCCCAAGTGAATAATCCACGGGTGATCACCACGACTGCAAGGCGCAATTCTTGGAGGCTGTACAGCTGCATTTAGCTAAGTGGTTACCTCTCTGTATCGATAGAGTCTTTCATACCCCAGAATGCAACATTCGAAAGTCGTTTGCCAGGATACTTCACAAGAACCTCGCAAGCACGACGATACGTCTCTAGCTTGCCAGCGCTGTTCCTCCTCCCGAAAACCCTCAAGACTAATCGCATCCCGTGTTCTGCTTGATCGTTCTGTCCATGAATATCGCGTGTCTCATGCTCCCAAGCTGTTTAAGATGACGTGGCTGACTAAGAGCTTGCGGAGCGCGCCTGACTCGTTCACATGCGCGAGGCACCAACGCTACCACATACACAACTACTTCTCACCAACGCCTCTTCAAACATACCATAGAGCGCACAGGAGTCTTATGGTTAATCGTAATGTCTATCTTTAATTCGGTCCTCGGCTCGCTCTCACCGCCGCGGCGATTCAGAAAGTCCTTCGAAGACCCTCACGCGCGCGAACACGAACTACCACTTTACAACTCTCCGCCTTCTCCTCGAATACCACCGCCTGTAACTTCCTCCGTACTATGGCACGCCCCAAGATCCAGTCTTTCTCCGCCGCCGCGCGTTCCCGACGACCTACTAGCTTTGCAACGGCGAGCCAGACATCTCGAACAACAGCTGCAAGAGCTACTTGACGCACAATCTGATGGCCTGATGGGCAGCCTTCGCGCAGGAGACGGTCGCGGATCGAATGGAAGCACCACACCAACTGTTAGCAGTGTTCGGTCCAGTGACCGAGGCGAGGACAGCGGAAACGGCCACAGCGCAACACGGAGCAAGAAAGTGGGACTAAACACAGCAAGGCAAGGCATATCTAAGCGGATAAGGCAACTCGCCAGTATCAAGGCTGAGGAACTAGACCTCTTAGATGAGGATCTGAGGAAACTGCAAAGCACAGTGGAGAAGACCGATGCGTGGAGCCAGAAGCGTGTACGGCTCGCGAAGAAGATCAGGGATATAGAAAGAGAAGACGCTGGCGCAAGAGCACAAACCTTACAAACGGAAGCTTCGAAGCTAGAACAGGAGATTCGACAGAAGGAAGAAGAACTATGGGCGCTGAAGAGACAACACCGGCGAGTCTTGGACGAGCTGGCTGATACGGAAAACTCTGTGGAAGCAAAACTGGCATCGTACAAGACATCGCTGTCACTGTTAGATCGGGAGGTTTCAAACTTCCTTGCCCGACCTCCAAACGCGGACCACGTACCAATGTCGTCCTCTCCGTTCCTCACACTACCCGCGAAGCGAAGAACACTCGAAATGGCGCGCGAATACTGGCAAGACGAGTACACAAGGCTAGCTGAGAGGTGCGAAGAGGTCGACAGAGATCGCGGTGCGCTTGACGAGGGCGCAGTACTATGGACCGACGTCATGAAAAGGGTGGCAGACTACGAGACAACCCTACAAGACTCTATGCGGCCCACGGCACAGAAAAGCTCCCCAGATCCCAATAAGCTTCTCGAGCAAATGGATACAATAATTGCCTACCTCGAAGAGAAGCTAGAATTTGCGTCGTCGCGAAGTTGGAACCTCCTGGTTTGCGCTATCGGTGCCGAGCTGGAAGCGTTCAATCAAGGCAAGAATATGTTAGAAGAGACTCTTGGGTTGAAACGAAAGGGCAAGGAACGAGCTACAGAACCGTTGATAGGTCATGATGGTTTTGAGGCTAGGGAACCAGAGGAGATGACGGGATCTGCGATCAGGATCAGTCGGTCCCCGCCGAAGAAGGCTGCGTCGCCTAGACAAACGTACTTTGACTCTGAAGATGATGATCCGGATCCCGAACTCATGATTTCGCATCAGGATACAGATACTGATTGAGCTCCACGCGGGGTTATTGTCGCGCTGTTCTTCGAGATTAAATACCCTTTTGTTTACCCACGCTTTTTAATCAATGAATCGCCATGCAAGACATACCCTTCTACTTGCTCATGCCAGTAACGTGTCGTCATGTGAACAGCCGTGCTGCGTGGCTCAATCTATCGATAAGAGTGGGGAAAACGGAGATAGCCCGCCTTATTACCGTCACTACTAACAAAGCTCCCGCCCGTTACGAGCATCACCATCATAATCACCTCGGTACAACTTGCGACATCTGCTGGACAGCTTCTCGCAAGTATGAGTTCTTCACACGCCCCGACTAGCCCACCTACCGAGGAGGACACCGCAAGAACCATTGTTTACGATCCAAACGACCCGTTCTGGCGCGATACTGAAGATGATGATGACGACATGGACTTTGTGCCCGCAGAAGAGGGGACCGACGACAATGAGGACGGTGAAGGCGATTTGAGCTTTCATGGTATATTGATCTGCCTTGTATGGCTCATGAACTATTTACTGACATTGTCACAAGATGCTGCCGAACGATTGAGTAACCTCAGCGGAGTGGAGATCGCATTCGAATACACCGACGATAACGACGAAGATGACGACGAAGAAGAGGACGAGGACGAGGATGATGATGACGAGGACGAAGAAGAAGACGAGGACGGGGACGAAGATCCAGACGATCCTCGGCAGCCAGTCATGATTACACGTGAGCAGATAATGCAGTTGCTTGGGCATGCCGGATTAGGGCGGATATTTGCCACCGATTTAATTCCTCGATCCGGGCTTCGGCGACACAGGTTTGACGATGACGAGCAGGAAGATGAAGAGGACAGCAATGCAGGTACCGGCTATGATCCTATTGGTACAAGGTCTTCTGGCAGAAGGCGAGGGCCACGAGGCAGAGACTTGTTTGAAAAGGTGCCCAGTGAAGAAGGCCAGGAACTGATGCAAGGAGGTAATTTCGGAACGAACCCACGACCAGAGGATACTCTCCAGAGGAAAAAGAGGCTAGCATACAACATCATGCGACGTGAGCTAGGCATCGGTGGTGATGGTCGCCAGAAGAATTCCACGAAGCTGTTGAGGCAAGACATGATACCCGAGTCTGTGGCGGACACCATCATACACTACAATGCGCGATGTTATTCGGGACAATTCTCTGACGATGGTAATTTCTTCTTCTCATGCGCTCAGGACTTCAAAGTGCGCATGTACGACACGTCAAATCCATATGACTGGAAGTATTACAAGGCAAGTAACATCCTTGGATTTGAAGCCCTGCAAAACTGACCTGTCGTAGACAGTGAGATATGATGGCGGCCAATGGACTATCACAGATGCTTCATTAAGTCCAGACAACCGTTTCCTGGCATACAGCTCGATTCGAAGTATCGTCGCGCTAGCACACACGGACCCCAGTGACGATTCTGAGCCCCATTACCTCGACTTTTCAGATCTGGGTCGACCGGCCCCGCGTGGATTCCGCGGATACTTTGGTGTAAGATAGTCACACATCCTATTCGACTTCGCAACTGACCGTTCCAGATTTGGTCG